TCTAATCAACTTGATACAAGTCAGTAATGTAAGAAAACATGCTTGCCTTTGAATTCCCTCCACTTTATTTAAAAAGAGGAAGTAAATGACTGAGCATGCTCAACAAATGGCTCATGGGTAATCCTAGATGTTTCCAGAAAGTTTTTTTCTGGCAGTATTGCCAGAATGTCACCGGAAGTTGTTGCAGCTAGCGGGGATATTTCATTTTTTTCTGGCAGTATTGCCAGAAAGTCACCAGAAGTTGTTTCCGCTAGCGGTGATATTTCACTAACCCAAAAAGCTTGTTTCTGGTGACAAAAATGTGTTGCTGCAATGTTGCCGCAATATAGCAGCAATATTGCTGCAATAATTTTACTTTGGTAAGGGCCCATTTAACTACAATAAAGGCAAGGTAGCAAAATTTCACTCAAATTTATCTTGACGTAATACATACGAATATATTTCAAAGAACTAAATTGTGTCATTCAGTTTTCGTAATTTCCAACTAGATTGGACCTCGTTTTAAATGGGTTTTTGCCTTTACTTTGATTTTTTTTAATGATATAAATTCTCTGCATTCTTCTTTAGGTAAATGCCATAAATATTCACCAGAAGTCAAATGTCTACTGTACTGGTTACTGTTAACTGAGAAATATCAGGTGAATCTCAATGAACAATCGAATAGCAGCACAAAGGAAAAAATCAGAGACAGATATTTTCCCGATAATACTGATGGTGATTGGGTAGATCCTCCTGATGGGATCACAGAAGCACATAACGGTAAGATAACCTTTATATCAGATGATATCAGACATGACGTCATGTATGCCTTTGTTACGGAGTGTCTGGTGAAGGACAGTGATCTGGAGTTTTTCCTGACCACGGCGTCACGTGACGTGATATCAGAATACTGCCGGTCCTGGGATTATAAGAGGAGTGAGGGAGAGAGATGTCTGTATGTACCGGCCAGTCCGGAGAAGATGTACGAGCTCTTTATAGACAAACTACAGCTGGACATCATCACACACTGTACCGTGTCTGACGGGGATTTTCATTACAGGACCAGTACACGTTGTAAGTATTTATTTAGCATAGTTATGAACTATTTGCTTAAAAGGTAGTGGCATACACATGTAGCAAATTAAATACCTGCATTGGAAATAATCATAGACTTCTTAACTGTTCTGTGTTTCATTGATTACTTTAATTATGTTAACTCAGTAAGATATGATATAAGCTAATCCTCGTGCGTTAGTTTTTTTTTTTTGCTTACCCCTCCGTCTAAAGATAGTTATGCTAATTCGCGGCTGTTCGTAATCCTCTAGTTTTTCAGTAAATATGAACTGGGATTTTATTCAGTAGTGAGAGTAATTATTATTTAATCTGTAAATGAATATTTTTTTTATAAAAGGGGATCTTAACGATTTAAATTTGTGTCTTTTTTCAAAGGTGCTCATTCTAATAATAATTACGTATATCTCTAGTTGTGTACTTTTTTGGGTAGATATGGAAAACATTTCTCAATCTCCAAGTCTAAGGAGAAAACAATTCAAAGAATTGACCACTTTTCCAGAACTGTGATATACATAATATTTAGTCTCAGTGCAAAGAAAAAACATGTTTTGTATTTTGATTGTGATTAGTTTTCATATATTTAAATGTTCCGATAGAATTATTGACTGTCATACAAATTGCAATGATTTAATAGCGTAATTGCAGGAAGCCGAGTCAAATGCAGATATTTCAAACACTGCCTTAAAACTACATTATCATTTATCACTAATGCGGGGAGGGAGAAATTTCTTATAATTGTACCTCGCTATATCCACTAAGTTAACAAATATGAATACGAGGGGCGTTCAATAAATAATGTCACCAGGGCTCGGAAAGAAACAAAAATCGCTTTTCTACGATTTTGTCTTAATGATTTAACTAAAATATTGATTCTCTTTTAATTAAAAGACATGTCAGTAACATTTTTATTCAATTTCTAATTGTTTTTAGAACACAGTTTTGAGTATGACCCTTCGTATACTGGAAAATGACAGATCCTATGATTTGCTGTACTTGTTTTCTTCTTTCTGAAATATGTTTTCCTAAGTGTGGGAAATGAAACAAGTCAAAGATTGAAAGATCTGCCGAATATTGTTGATGTGAAAAAACATTAACTTTCTGTTTACCCCAAAACACCATTACTCTTCATGGTCTGTTGGATTGGACGCTGTCAGGAAGAAATTTAATGTAGTGAATTCCTCATTCTGTTACCTTCCTCTCATTAACTTTTCATTTTTTTGGCAAATATTTTGCTTACTACACTCCTCCAGAAATTGAACTGCCTCCCTATATATGTATTTGAACAACATGACCGCTAATATTTAAGAAAATAGCGTATAAAACTGTTTTTGTGTTCTTGCAAATTTTTGCTCTTCTTAGGCCTTTGCAGTTTTGTCAAGTACATCTTATTCAAAATTTGTTTAGAGGGTTTAACGCAAATATTGATTCAAGTTTCATGATCTGTTTGAATTTCAGAAAAACGTGGATAAGAACAATTTTTGATTTTTTTTAAATAATTGTTTAGATTTTCTACACGCTCTCGCTTTCACTCATATTTATAAATATAGGGTGACATTTGAGTATTAAACTTTTTAACAATCAAATATTTCTTTAAAACAGTGTGAATTACCCCCGATATAGTGTCTATCAAATTTACTCTGTGACTTAAAGTCAATAAAACATAATCTGTCATAATTTGTTGAATTATCGCTTATATACATTGGATGTTGTATGTCAATGTTGACAAGGACGGTATCCATTTTTGACGCCCATTATATAATTTTTGTTAATTGAAATCCACCTGTTCATGTGTGTATGAAACAGACAAAAGTTGCTGTAAATTTCACATATTTCAGTTAATATATTTTTGGGAAATTAACAAGTTTTACAGCAGCTTTAATGACGCGTTCAGTTTTACTCTAATTTACTGATACTTGACCATTCATTTTCAATGCAGTGTCTCGAGTAGCCCTTGTTTTCCAACTTCCCACAATGAAATGATGCGATGAAATGTGGTCACATAAACAGTTATCAATTCATTAAAGATTCAATAATTAGAAAAAGTCAAGCTTAATGTCATATGGTTTCTATGTTGTATGTCATGGAGCTAATGACATTATTTTATTGAACGCCCCTCGTATATTCTAAAATTTTGGGGAATGAAGATCACTGTGCTCTAACATGTCTAAGCGCCAATTCGTTATAATCATTTTCATTATAATCACGTTTTATTGTTTGTCAACAAAACCATAGAAATGTCTGATAACTCGCAAACAAAAGTCTGATAGAAATCCAAAAAGAATGAAGAAACTTAATGTTAACAATATGTTAGTTATACTTTACTATACAGTGTATAGTTTATGATGAATTCAATTCTCTAAAGTGGCCGTGTTTGAAAAACTTGGGATGAAGGAAAGTAAACGATTTTTTAAATAAGCTTGAAGTTGTCCAACGTTTTTCTGTGAGGATAAGTATAAAACTCGTGAACTTTTATAATCCAAGAAATAATATATATTGTCATGTTGAGCCATGACCTGACTCGACGATCACCCCTTCTAGAATCAAATATCTCATGATAAATAATCTTTGTCTTCTATGATCTTTTGCGCCCTTAATATTATAAGCAAAATCTCATATTAATGTGAACTTCAAACAATATGTATCTGGGATCCGGAGTTAAAATTAGTTAATTTTTGGATCATACAATCATTCTTTGCTTGAAAAATGCTCAGATTGATTGAGAATGAATTTCGATATGCAGCTTCAATTCAATGTTTTCCCCACGTCCGCGTCGAATTTTATCCGCCCATTTCATTGTCTATCACTGAATGCTTTGATTGTAACAGAGAAAAATGCCGTAAGCTGTATATATCCAATCTTGCCAGTTAATGTTCCGCAGTCTTAAAAATTAAATGCACACCCTCTACATAATCAGACAAGTAAATATTTCTCTACAGTGCATGAAAATAAAAATTTAAATGAATAAACTAAAACTTTTGACAAAAAATTGAGGAAAAAATATGTATTAAAGACTTTTGACTGCATATATCGTTCTAAAAAGCCAATTGTTCAATTTCATATTTAGCTGTTTTTGGTAGAAGACATCATACTGAATAGAGCAACAAGGCGATACTTCCTAAATCCATTGGAAAATAATCAACATAGATATGTCTTACATACAGTATAATTGATAAAGGGAAAATATACAACGACACCCATTCTGTTCACATTGCACATTTATTCTTAGAAAGGAACAACTTATGATAAGTTACTGTGTACGTCAAAGTAAATATATTGCGAGCGAGGCCAAAATTAACCATTTTCATTCTATGTCCAATGTAAAATTCACTCTTCAATTCTTAAGAGATAAGCCATAAGCCGAAGTCAAGATTCCGATATCAGTTAGGAAGATGTGAGAGATACTGTATTGATTGATTAATTGTATGTTGTTGAACGTCCCGTTCCAGAATTTTTCATTCATGCAGAGACCTGACCATTTACTGGTGAAGGACTTCGAATTTTGACATATACTCAGCACTCAGGGCCATTGATCAGTGAGGTATATTTATCGTGCCAAAGCCTGCCGCTGACACAGGGACCTCGGAATTGAAGGCCTCCAAAGAACCCGCAGTTTCACTTCAATTTCCGAGCGCTTGGCAAAGGAACAGTTGCCACGCATTTTTTTTTTATCGAATTAGGTCCGTCGTGGACGAGATTCGATCTAACGACCTCCCGATCAAGTAGTGAACGCTCTGCCTAGTTGGGTACCGTGACCGGTGGAATACGGTATATGTTTCTTTTCCAAATTTTACCAATCATGGTCATTGTATGTTAATACACTGTATAACCCTTGCTATTTTGTTACACGCTGTCGATGAATTTATTTTGTTTGGTACTTCAATAAAAATATCTTTCTTCTTGTGAGAAATCAATGTTAAAGCCAGCTGGCTTTTTATCCAGAAAAAATCGTCAGGTAGTTTTTAGGTACTAAAATGCCGATGCCAATCAATTTTTGTACCCTTGAAGGTAGGCAAAGAGAGGGGTGTCAATTGCAATCATAAATCAAAGTACTGAAAGTACTGAAAAGCGGTTAGCATGCTTTCATCGAATATGTACAGTGTACAATAACAAAAAATGCATTGAATGATGATATTAAAGTAGGCATGCATATCTTTTTCTAGTGTCATCAGCGAAGAAGCAGACACAATGAATTTTGTAGTACTTAACTAAATGGTATAACCAATAACATCCCAGACTGATGTCACAAATGTTTGTTTCAAAATATCAACCTGCGATTTTCAGTTTGAAAGACAGAAAGTTCAATTTCAAAAATTTCTCCCTAATTGTCTCCATTAGTGGCGTCCAAAAGTGCTCAGTACGAAAAAAAATTATGTTGATGTTGCAAATTTTATTGGCTTTCATGCTCTATTGATTCTGAAAGTAGGTAACTGAAAAGGCTCTTTAGAAAACAACCCAAAAAGAAAATAAAATGATAATTCAAATTCTTTAGATTAATTGATTTGGAGTACTGTACATAGATCTTTAGCTGGCTATTCTGAGAAAAACGGATGGACGAGCAGAGAATTAATTAAGGTAATTTCAGAGAGCTTCAGTTTCGTAGGCTCACTGCGGGTCAGCAGATGGTTTCATTCTACCTATTCCCACTTTTTGAAAAAACAATTTTTCCCTGAAAACAAAGCTTTTATCATCTTTTAAATAATTTTAATTGAGAAAAAAAGGAGACGAAAACAAACGTTTCATTATAGAAGTAATCCATAACTGTTCAACTTACAGATGTATTCAGTATTTTTATATAAAGGCTTTCTTCGTGTACTAGTATTACCTAAGTTAATTAAAGGGATGCCTTAATATTTTGGAAAATGAAACTCGATCGAGAGATTCTCCGATGTTTTGTAGTCAGTAATAACCTTAAACCCCTTTAGCCAGTAATTAACCCGTCCTCCCTGTGCCCAGTGGCATAATTCGGTCAAATATTTATTGTTCATGAGGGGTGCCTTATAATTAATCACAGGCACCTGAATTTTTTTCAGTAAGTCTCTAAATTAGCCAAATATCGAAACATTCTTCTCCCTCTATATATAAATAAACAAGGTGTCCAACGCCTTTTGACCACCTGTTCGATTCAGGCTTAAATTTAACACATAAATCGGATATGCCTACTGGTTTTCGTGTAGCATTGGCTTCAAATATGATATTTCTCGCTATACATTTCTTCCCAAAGTTTAATTCTAACGCGTTGATAATGTTATCTGCTAAACTTCATGCTGACTTCGAATTTCATCACAGGGCCCGTTCGCCATCAGCTGATGTCACGGAAATTTAATCTTGACACCAAATGCTCCTATACATAAACTTTTTTTTAATACAACAATTATAGATTTATTTCATTGACAAACAAAATCAGAAAAAAACCGAAAGATTATAATGTTGCTTTGATAGTCTTGATTTTATCTAACATATGCTATATGTGTTGGAAACAAATCATAAGTACTTGGTAGAGGCTTTGTTGAAGTTTTTGTTGTCGATAGGTAGCGCCTTATGGAAGTTTCCGGTTTTGATAAAAATCTGACACATGCCATAAAGCGCTTAGCGAAGCTAACCGCTTAAAAATAACAAAGAATATGTATCACTAAGATTCAAAAGTTTAAGCCTCAACATGCATTTTAAACTCCTACGTCTGAATAGATTTTACACCATATAGCTCTCCCCTAAAGGTCTGACAGAGTGAGGTTTTTACAATTTAGCCATAGTTGCAACGGTGATAAAAATCATATTCGAAATTTCATCGATCTTTTCCTTCCATGAATCTACTAGTATTCAAAACTATTTAAGAAATATTTGAATATTTTACAGACTAAAATTTATATTTAGACAATAAATGTATCTTTAATAAGTGAGAAAATTGGCAATTAATTGACAACACCGTCAATTCACTTATGGCATGTTTTCACAACTATCACTTTTCTAAAACCAACAATTACCTGTTGCTGCCATCCGGTCTTTCCTGTCTACCCGGGCTCTTTGTTTATTGACGATATGCGAGCTTTCGTTGCCATATATGCGACTATCAAAACAAAAAAAAAGTTGACATAAAAAGTGACATAAAACACAATAACTAGTCACTTCATTGTACCTCTTATTGAAAAATTTGATAACTTCGGAATTTGAGGTAATATAAAGGCAAATCAAAATTAACTATTTGTAGGTAAAAATAAAAAGTTGGTTCTGATCATCGCAATATCGACTAAATTAATCTCCAATTAGCCCTGCAAATTAAAGTTTTCTTCCTTTTCCTGAGATATCTTTTTTGTTTGCTTTCTTGCTCTTATACATGTAGCTCTACTTATTTTGCCTTCATCATATCACCTTATGAAGACATAGAATCATTAAACCTCCTCAGTTGATCCCAATCAAATATCAGATAACAGTCAGCGTAGGAACTTGACATCCTCATATATTGAAAGAGTATGGCAGAATGAAAATTATAAAGTTTTTTTTTCGCATACATATGTACATGTCCATGTCCAGGTCATAAATAGCTCATTATGTATCCGATTAGTCCTATTAGGGCAATTGTGTTTATTTTTATTAAAATGTAGATCATCACTCATTGCATCCATTTTTAGAGAGAAATTAGGTATTGTTATTACCTTATGCTACTAAAAAAAAGAAAAAAATATAGAATTTTACAATATGCAATTTTGAATTTTTATCTAGTAAACATACCGGAGGAAATTTTGACATGGGATTTGAGTGCCAGGAAAAGATTTGTTGAGAGTCTCCGCCATGGAAGAGTACAAATGTTCCGTGGACGAGGTATGATTGTGGGATGCGCAGGCGCAGGTAAAACAACTCTACTTAGGAAGCTTCAAAGAAGACACACAGAGGAAAATCAACCTACAGAAACAACAATTGGTCTAGAGGTCCATGAAGATTTGTTTGAAATTAAAGATGACACTTTATATGGTAATTCTTCTTTTACATATCAACATTTTTACGTTAGGTTTCAACTGATTTTAGAACATGTGCATTTGAACTTCTGGAATTTTATAAATGCACCCCAAGTCACTTCCATCTCGTTTGTTTTCAGGAATGACTGATTAACAATATTAAAAAATTGTTCCCTAATTATTTTGTATCTAATCAGATTTCAGTGTTAACGCTGAAGATGATCCGATTACAATACGTATACAGAACAGGGAAGAGGAAAAAGGGGAAGGTTATCAAAGGCATTCATCTTCACAGCAGCCATGGTACAAAGCTGATCAGTATGACAGACTTTGCGGGACAAGTGGCTTATTACGCATGTCACCAGGTTTATTTGTCAAGGAGAGCATTTTATATCGTTGTTGTTGACATATCCAAGGGTTTAGATGAAGAAGTTAGAATCTACCATACTGATCGCCATAACCCTGAAGGATCCTTGTTTCATTCCTGGAAATACAAAGGTGGGTTTCAACAAAAACAATGTTTTTTATCCTGTTATTTTACACATCTATAGATGTTTCCCCTTATACATTTTATTTATATATGCATGATTTAAATTATTACCCGGTATACTTTCATGTTGAATATTAAAATCTGACTGGTTAAGACGCAGTTAACAATCTGTTCTATTACCCTTAACCTAAGCAACACACTTGACAACGGGTAACACAATGAAATTGTCACATACGTGCAAATCATGCCCGTACTAGTACTGTTCACTTTAGAATTCTCAAAATGTCCGTTGTGCGTTTGAGAGACTTGCGTCCGATGTAGCTTCCTTGTAAACAACAAACACCAGACGAAACATGCTTGCGAGTGCAAAAAAAAAAAACCAACTAATTTCTAGAGGATAAGGGACTCTTGGACTATCAAATAAAGAATAAAGAGGTGTGTTAATCTTTTTCGAAGTAGTGGGGAGTTTGAAAGTTTACTAAACGTGAACGTAAAGACGATCGGCGAATTTTTTCCACTTGCATCCTTAATCAATAAGACATTCAGTACTAGAGCCGAGCTCGTTGCAAAGCAACGAGTAGGTCTTCCGTTGGAGCTGTGGACAGGAAGTACAGATCTTGGGTCAAGGTCACTGCACTTTCTTATGTAAACTACCTTTCTTCCCAGCATGAGCCTCCAGTAAATTTTAATTATAAAGTTATGCTTAAACATTTTTTTCTTTGTCAGTGACCTTGATTTGCCAGAAAGACATTTGATCAGGGTCATGACAAAACCTCCAATCATAAGTAATGTATGTTTCAAGTAAGAGCCTCCAATGATTTTCATTTACTAATTCATAGCGTAGTAAAGAAAATATTTCTTCTGTCAGTGACCTTGATCTTAACAGAATAATCTTGGCTCTGTGTCAAGACAAACACCCTTTAATGATTAGAAGTTCATAACCTGACAGAAATTTTACAACTTCTCTGTCATTGGCCGATGATGATGTTTGAAATTTGCATTATCTCCACCATTTTGTCATAGGTCAGAAAAACAACACTGAGGTATTTTTAAACATAACCGGATATTAATATTAAACAACATGGGGTTTTATTTATGAAAGATAATTAAAAC